TACCCTCGGTGCACTACCAGAGAAAACGCTAGATTCTATTCACAAATTTTCCGGCAAAAATGATAAACTTCGGCGATCACTTTTCTGGAAAGGTATGTGCCACAGCAAGTCTTGTTGTTTTCGATAGAATGTTGTCAGCTCTTATTATGGTTTGTTTCAAGGTATGCGTTCTCTGGCTGAACCTGGTGAAAATGTTGGATTGTTGGCTGCGCAGTCGATTGGAGAACCGTCAACACAAATGACTTTGAATACATTCCATTTCGCCGGTAGAGGAGAAATGAACGTAACCTTGGGTATTCCACGTCTGCGCGAAATTCTTATGACTGCATCTGATCACATAGCTACTCCATGTGCAAAGGTCAGTAGATTGTTTCCACAATTTTGTATATTAATAACATACAACTGGAACTTACTCTATTTTGTAGTGGATTGTTTACGATAGGGCCACATTTATATTTTGCGCGTGTCGTGCAAGTCCCCGAAAGCTCAGGTCCCCATACCGCCGCGGGTGGTATATCTCACCTTGTGAGGGGTGAAGTCATCGAATAAACTTACCTTTATCCCGTGTCGTTATACTCAACTGAACCAATCCCTGAAGAGAAATGTCAAAAAAAGTTTGACCTTACATGAGAGAAGACTCTTTGAAGGTTCTGCGGCACCATATTAATGAAGCATCCCGCAAAACAGGCGCTTAACTCTTTACAGATTAGTATTCATGAGCATCCCGCAACACAGGCGCTAAACCCTTTGCATATTAGTATTCATACTAAAAAGCAGTCTTGTTCGCTGCGGATGCGGGGACGTGTACGGGGCGGGGAGGGATGGATTTAACGCAACGCCGGCCCGTTTTCCACGAATCGTTGCCGCAGCCCGCTTCAACAACTACTCGAGAACGAGCTGGCGCCGCGCCTGGCCAGGGTACAGCATCGTGATGTGTGGGGTGGTGGTGTTGTTAGACGACCCCCCCCCCCACCCAGTTTTTCCCCAAAAATTTTCCGTCGAGG